CTACTCCTGGGCCTCTGCCAGCAGGCCAGACCACACGCCTCCAGGCCTCCCTGGACCGTGATGCTGGCGGGGAGGTTCCCTGCGCAGGAACGCCACCTGGGGCTGGGCGCACGGCCTCCTTTTGGAGGAGGGTTGCCCTCTAGGACGCTGATCTGCCCCTGAAGGCACACACACCTCAGTAGGCTGTTCACGTATATCCCTTCTGTGCCCCGGGCAATGCTAGACCTCGGTGCACGGGATCTGGTCTGCAGGTCCGACCTCTGGGTCCCAGAGTTCAAACTGTATCCCCACCAGGGAGAGGAGTTCCGGTCCCAATTCACCCACAGGGAGCCCAAGCTGGGTCTGTGTCTCTCAGCCTCTGAGTCGGCACCGTTCTCCTGGGAACACCGTGCCAGCAGCACCTGGGAGGGCTGGCAGGTAGGGAGCTCACAGTCTGAGTTCCCCTTAGTCAGCTGTAGGGTCCCAAAAGGGAAGCTCCCGTTCCCTGGAGGTGCCTCTGGCTGGTGGCTATATTGTCTCTCTGGGCAGCCTCGGGTAGGGTTGGCGGAGGGGAGGAGGAGGCAATATGGCGCCTGCCGCGCCGCTCGGGTCTGTGCACACGGAGGTGCCGGGAGGGAGTTGAGAGCCTGGTACCGGTCCGCTACAGGCTCACCTCTAGCTGGCGGCAGCCGTCTCTGGGCTGGTGTGCGCAGGTCTCTCCACCCACTGGGGAGCCCACCAGCAGTCCCAAATGCAGGGGAGGGGAAACGGCAAATCCACATACCCTTCCCGCTGGTCTCCGGGCTGCTCCGGCGGTCTCAGCTTCCAGTTCTCCTCCGCAACCTCCTTCTGTCGAGTCTCCCAGGGTCTCAGGTACCCCTCCTTCCGGCCCTCGTCCGTTGTATGCTCATTTTCTTGCTTCTTTTTTCTAATTTCTGCTAGAATCTGTCTTTTCTGCAGACACACTCTGTCTGGTGGTGTTTCTCGTCCGCCATCTTGATCCACCCGACAAATCATGTTATTCTTTTGCTCAGAACCTTGTGATGGCTTTTCATTTAACTCAGAATAAAAGTCTAAGTTCTCACAGGAGCCTGTAAGGCCCTAAATGAACTGACCAGCCCTTTATCTCTCTGATTTCCTCTACTGCTACTGTATCCTTCTTTTTCTTCGTCTTCGTCTTCGTCTTCTTCTTTTTTTTTTTTTTTTTGAAACAGGGTCACACTCTGTTGCCTGGGCTAGAGTGCAGTGGCATCATCATAGCCCACTGTATCCTCCAACTCCTAGACTCAGGTGAGCTCCTGCCTCAGCCTCCCGAGTAGCTGGGACTATAGGCACATGCCACTATGCTTGGCTAAATTTTTATAGAGATGGGGTCTTGCTATTTCAGCTCAGCCTAGTCTTGAACTCTAGCCTCAAATTATCCTCGTGCCTCAGCCTCCCGAAGTGCTAGGATTACAGATGTGAACCACCATGTCCAGCCTCTCACCCTTATTTGTTCCAAAATGGATCAATGATTTCAATATACAAGCCAAAACCATAAAACTCTTAGAAGAAAACATAAGGATAAATCTTCATGACCTTCGATTTGGCAATGGACTCTTAGATATAACATTAAAAGCACAAGCAACAAAAGGAAAAAGAGATAAATTGGACTTAAATCAAAATTGAATTTTTTTTACAGCAAAGGCATTATCAAGAAAGTGAAAAAACAAGCCACAGAATGGGAGAAAATATTTGCAAGTAATATATCTGATAATGGTTTAATATTCAGAATATATAAAGAACTTCTACAATGCAACAGCAAAAAGACAAAACCCAATTCAAAAATGGGAAAATGATTTGGGTAGACATTCCTCCAAAAAGATATACAAATAGCCAGTAAGCACATGAAAAAGATGCTCAACACCATTAGTCATTAGGGAAATGCAAATCAAAACCATACTGAATCCCACTTTACACCTACTATAGAGGATAATTATAATTAAAAAAATAGAAAATAACAAGTGTTGGTGAAGATCTGGAGAAATTTGAACCATCATACATTGCTGGTGGTAATGTAAAATAGTAGAGCTGTTGTGAAAAACAATTTAGTTGTTAAAAAGCTAAACACGGGAACTAGGTGTACTGGTGCACACTTGTAGGCCTACCTACTCGGGATGTTGGGGTGGGAGTATAAGTCCAGCCTGGGCAACATAATGAGAACCCTGTCTCTTTTTTTTTTTTTTTCTTTTTGAGACAGAGTCTCGCTTTGTTGCCCAGGCTAGAGTGAGTGCCATGGTGTCAGCCTAGCTCACAGCAACCTCAATCTCCTGGCTTAAGCAATCCTTCTGCCTCAGCCTCCCGAGTAGCTGGGACTACAGGCATGCGCCACCATGCCCAGCTAATTTTTTATATATATATATTAGTTAGCCAATTAATTTCTTTCTATTTTTATAGTAGAGACGGGGTCTCGCTCTTGTTCAGGCTGGTTTCGAACTCCTGACCTCGAGCAATCCGCCCGCCTCGGCCTCCCAGAGTGCTAGGATTACAGGCGTGAGCCACCACGCCCGGCCAGAACCCTGTCTCTTAAAAGAAAAGGCTAAAAAACATGGAATTACCAAAAATCCTTCTATTCAATATAGATCCCAAAGAATTAAAAACAAGGACTCAAAGAGATACTTGTATGTCATTATTCTTTGCAGCATTATTTACAGTAACAAAAAGGTGGAAACAACCCAGGTATTCATCAATAGAAATGGATAAACAAAATGTGGTATACACATAAAATAGAATATTTTTCAGCCATAAAAGGGAATGAAATTCAGACGCATGCTAAGAGAAAGAAGCCAGACAAAAAAGGACAAATAGTGTATGATTCCACTTACATAAAATGTCTAAAATAGGCAAATTCATAGAGACAGAAAGCAGATTAGACATTACCACTTTGGGAGTTGGGCAATGAAAAGTTATTGTTAATAACTTGCAAAGTTTCTGTTTGGGGTGATGAAAAGTTTTAGAAACATAGTGATAATAGTTGTACAACATTGTAAAAGTAATTTACAATGCCACTGAAATGTACATTGAAAAATGGTTAAAATCACAGATTTTATGTTATATATGCTTTACTACAATAAAAAAATTTCAAAAAAACCCCCCAAACTATATATGATATGTTGAGGTGAGCTGGAGCTGCCTTGTGTGAGCTCTTGAGAGCTGGTCATGAGCACCTCTTCTCAACTACACCTTCTGCAATGTTGGTAGCTTCAGATTGGCCACAGTAGGAGTATTTACACCAGGGCAATTAGCAAATGCCTCCACCCCCACCCTTTTGGAGCAGCCAGTTTTTAAATACTTACAAGCTTATTACTAAATATGTATATAAAAATGCATAAGCCAGGCGCGGTGGCTCACGCCTGTAATCCTAGCACTCTGGGAGGCTGAGGCGGGCAGATTGCTCGAGGTCAGGAGTTCGAAACCAGCCTGAGCAAGAGCAAGACCCTGTCTCTACTATAAATAGAAAGAAATTAATTGGCCAACTAATATATATATA